TAGAACAAGGAAATATCAGGGAGTTAACTGTTTTAGGGCCCCAAAGGCGTTCACACTCTACAGGAAGCCGACTGTCTATTGAATATTCCGGCGCTTGCCATCCATGGCGCCTCCTCGCCAACGAAAGCATGTGAATCCACCTGTGCAGCTTGTTGGCCCGCAGCCTGCGGCTGGGTACGTTTTCCAAGAAAAAAGTTGTAAACAATATTTCCTGTAATGAAAACAAGTGTTAAAACTCCTCGGAGTGCAACAAAAGCGTTCGACAAAAAGAGCAATGTTTTTTTTAACCCGTTGCTTCATCTATGATATTTTTATGGGTTTCAAATTATAATGTGGTCCTCAAAACTGGCATTGAAAACTCTTAAAAACGAAAAACGAATTATTGTAGCGGAGTGCCAAGTACTGAAGACAATTGTTCGAATTCCATTACTGGTGTAACGGTGTCGGTGCATCCAGTATGGCCGGATATGCAGTTCACGCAAGGAGAACTGTTCTTCGAATGCACACTCTTTTTATACTCGGTTCTGGCACTATTTCTGCAGTATCTGAACATCTATAAGACATTGTGGTGGTTACCGAAGTCCTATTGGCATTACTCAATGGTTAGCCTTGGTCAACATTTCTGTGTTTAAAAACCAATGCCTAATCTACTTGGTCTCAGAAATTCCACTTGATCAATCCATATTTCCTCTCATGTGTGGGTCTACTGCTAGGATGGCGAGTTACAAAGTGCTTCTGGAAAACGGTACGTTTTATCATTTTTCTCGAACAAATGCATCCAGCACTTTTCTACTTGGAATATAAGCGTACAATCGCAAAAATAGAGCCGAAATTCAAAACTGTCCCAAACTTGAGATTTCATCATCCACCGTAGTCATCTTCCTGCCAAGACCACAGCATGAAATTGTATGGGAAGTAAGCACAACACTGCCGCTAGTTTTTTCCGCAGGTGCTTAATCACTGCTTCCCTAATCATGTGTTTCTAATGAGCAAAAACGCCACCTAATGTTTTATTTTATAAACACACTTAAATATGGTTCATCTCCCATACTCTACGAAAAAACTTACGTTTTGTCTTCACACAACCAAACTACCGAAAGCCGGATGGAAACATAAGTACTATCTCTTTTTGCATATCAGAAACAAATTGTTGGAAATGGTGTAATGGCAAGTGGCGCCGCTTATCACGGGCACGGTCCGGTGATCAAACCCTGGTGCCGGGTCAGTGAACCCCGGTCGGGGACGCATTTCTAAACTTGGGGGGGGGGTTTTTGTCCCCGGCCAGACACAATCCCCAGCTTTGGGGGATTTGTCCTCCAACTTTGGCAATTAGACTCAAATCTGGAGGGTCCGAGCGAGGATGGGACGCGCACCGCCGGCAGGGCTTGCCTGCAACCAAGCCCATGATACTCGCTCGAGCCCAAACCAATGTTCATCTCTCTTCCGAAGACAGCACTATTTAAACCCAAATTTGTTGGAGTATAAAACCACTGACTTGCTGACCATCGCTGGCCCCCGCCAATTCTCTTGTAAGAACGCAAAATCGCATCAATATTGATCGTCACCGACATTCACGTGGGGATTGAATGCGCTTGCTTTGATCTTTTGCTTCTTATCAGACCACAGGTTATTTTATATTTTCATTCAGCATCAACATGAGTTTTTGTCCGACCAATAGCCGCGACGCATCAACATTTATCCAGTCAACCTTAACTGTGATAGAGTATGCAATTGTAAAAACACCTTTGATGACTCTGATCATTACAAGTTTCTTGTTCAGGTGATTTCATCTATCAACTCCCTATCATTATATTTTGCATCATAGACCTTATTGCACGAGAGACTGAATTTTTTTAGCTTCACGAGGATATGCCATGATTTTCCTTTCAACTCCGTCATGTACTTCTTTCATCCGTAAGTCGGAATCTTTTTCCGTAAAAACGTACAGGCAGCCTTTGTAGACCCTCAGGTTCCTAGAAACTCATGAGTTGGATTATTAAGGTGTTTCGTAGATGTAGAATGGAGAAATAGTGGATAGGAATCTTTCAAGAGCTGGAAGTAGATCCTGCACTGCTTCCAACCTTAAAAGTCAAAAGACATAGGATGTTATTGGTTCATGTTTAAGTGCCCATATAATGACTTGTGACATCAGCGTCCGATTACGAGGTAAAACTACGGTCAACTATTAGGCTGGGCAAATTCTGTCCGTTCTAGTACTCTTCCTCCTGGACGTGCTCCCCATATACCAGTCTATGGACCGTCGTTCATTAGTTCCATTCCATCCTAACAAGCTTTAGGCGAAGTGTATGTTTAAAATTGCTGGCAAAAATTACGAAATTCCGAAATTTTCCTTGAAATTAAAAAAAACCTCCCACTTCTAGGACGTTTCATTTTTCTTCCCCTCCAAAAGTTCCAAACTCATCAGACAAGCCTTCCTGGTTAGGAACTACTCATTCCCACTCTGGAAGGCTTGACTGGTTGGGTGGTGTCGGACATTATGGCTCGCAGTAAACCACTGGGTTATCTCTTAACGTTTAACAGGCAAGGTTTCATGCCTGTGTGGGAAGGCGCCTATTACGAGGAAATATTCGATTTTCACTACGTGAGCGTAACTTTGTGCTGATGGTTTCATAGTACGCTTAACCTTTCTTTCAAGAATCATTTACCTTTATTTTATTCTAGTTATTTGCATCATGTATCCAAATTTTGTTGCTTGTTACAGCTTGATTCTGTACGTGGTCGTATTCTACAGCGAACTAGTGGGGAAGTGGCGACGATTTAGAAAATCATTTGGAGAATGGTGTCGTGGCGACATTGATATTGCTCAGGTGAGTCAGTGGTGTAAACTTTTATCGCACAAATTATGTCTGTGAGTTGAACGGAGCTGCATATATTTCCAGTCCCTTTCTAATTAAAAGATATCTTGCTCAGTGAGTCATTTCTTAAAAATGCTCATCAAGGTTAATTAAACAGCTGATTTTGACCGCAGTTCGCCGTGTGAATGTTGCCACAAAAATGCTTATTTTCGCCAAAAGCGATACCTGGCGGTGTAGTCGGTTGACGGACTACTTGAACTCAGCCCTTTACCGCCTCTGCGCTCTCTAGCGGGTCCCTCTCCTCTCCAAGGCTTAGTCCTAGGGCATCGTCTGTGCTCTAGCCATCGCGGCAGGACCATTGAGGAAAAATCAAGTAGTCCGTAAATCCGGTGTAATCGGTCAACACAACGCACAACTGTCCAATAACGAGAGGTGCGGGTTCGATTCCCGCCTAGGGCAAAGAGTTTTGCTCATTGCCCAACATTCGTGTGATAATATATGAGGCCTGTTTTTCCATTTTCATGATTACCGTAGCATACGTATTTGCTTTTTTCAGCTTGCCGATCGTTGTGTTGTGTAGAACCACCGCCGGCACAAATTGATTTGGATTCGGTGCTCCACATGTGCAGTAATAATCCAGGTATATTCTTCAGCTAATTTTTTTTAAGGAATATGTATTCTCTCTCACACTCGCTACGCCCTTATTGTTCCAGTGCAAATTCGTGAAGAGGTATCATTACTTCTTGAAGACATGTATCTGAGGTTAAAACGAAGTCTTTTCGCTGGTGTCTCAACGGCCTTCTTATCAATATTCCTTCCATGCGTTTTTGTACCGGTGAGAATGGTTTTTTTTCGTTACCATTCTTGAAACTGGAAATATGCATTCCTTCATAACGTCGCGAATCCCCTGAATTTTGTAGTTTTCTTTGAAAATTCCAAGGGTGATGTCGATTTAAAACCATCAATCAAAATACCGTCGCGACTTCGAAGAAATCTCACATAATGAAGCCACAAATTACGAATTGGCCACCCTCTGTGCGCTCTGCAATTGTTTGCTATCAGGGTAAATGGAGGTGATTAAATGGGTTTTCAGGGAAATTTTTTGCACGCTTCTTGTTACCAGCGGCTTATAGAGTGCGTTCACCTCACTAATATCTATGTTTTGCAGTAAGAAAAAATTACCTTTAGTGGATTAAGGATATTGTTCCTGATGGTAGTGTCAATCTTTTCTTGCAGTACAAAACGTCATTGGGCGTACCGCAAAAAGTGTTAGTGGATGAGGCGTGGGAATCTGAGTTGTGTATCGTCGTAGCCTTGACTGCCTTTTCGCTCTATATCACGTATCTGATGCCACTTAATTACTTGGATCTGTTGCACAGGTTAGCGATTATGACTTTTCTGTTATAATTACACCATTTTTCGACATTTTATTTCAACCAACTTGCTATCTTCTTTCTTATTGGCGTTTAAGTACATGGTTTGAGACAATTTGAGACAAAGATCTCACAAAAGCAATGTACTTGGTTACTTCTCCAATCAGATTTTACTTCATTTTGATATAATTTAAAGATATTGTTTTGTCTAAAAGGAAAGCTGAGATGGCCGTGGTGTGGTCTCGATGACGTGACCTCAGTGATTGATTGCCCAGCTCATATTTTGATTGATCACTCCCGCTTTCGCCTGGACTCTCTAAGACGAGAGTTCTGTCGAGCGATAACAGGTGCCTGATACGATGCATCCGTAATGGTCATGCCCAAATGGGTGGTTGTCACTGAAACCTTGTTTATACTGCTGGGCCTTTTATAAGACCCAGTGCATAATTTTTGTAGACCCTTGCTGGAGCAAGGGTGCAAATAGAGAAGAAAATCGCATGTGAACTCGGGTGATCATCAACTTCACTGGCCGGTGTCTCATGGCGAGCAGGTTTTCAGTTTCTCAAAAGTTCCAAACAACTCATCGTATTGGTTATCTTAACAACGAGAATTTTCGACTTGAAATGAGAAGTTCCACTTGACTATTCTCATGCGATAGAAATTCTTGTATACGGCAAGGTTTGTAATCAAGTTTCTTGAAAATCCATTCCGAAAACTCATACATGATCATTGCGGACTGTGCTTCGAAAATTGTCGGTGTGCAGCGACTTCTTGAGATAAATCGGAAAGTAGCTCTTTTTGGATAAATCCGAAATGTTTGAGCGGTTTTTTTAAACGAATCTCTGATAACAATGAGATAATTCAAATGGCAGAAAGGAACTTGGTTCAATTTTGTGGTAAACTATATATCAATATAATACATAATTTCATTGATTCGTGCGTGCCTACCAATCGAAACTATTCCTCTACCATTCGAAATACTCAACAAACAACTTTGAAACATCTTCATTGAAGTACTGAAATTTTTTCTCTCGGATATTTAATCCAACGCGTCTATGGAACATTTTTGTTATTTTCTCTATCAAAGTATCCACTTAGATGTTGGTTAATTACCACCAGATAATTAATTTTCACCGCTGCCATCTTATTTTTATCAACTTTTCGTTGTAACAAAAGATTCGTCAATAACAAAGCAATGGTGAAATTTTGTTTCCATATTAAAACATTCGCAAAAAAGGAAAAAAATATAATACTTGAAAAAGAGCATTAAAATGCAAAAGGGACTCTCATATTGAGACCAAGTTACTTAATGTAAACACAAAAGTATTACTTATAATGACAATTAATAATAATAAATACAGACTTACTTATATATTAAGTATTGGTGAAACCATTTGAATTGGTGCGGTTTTGTATCATCTGGTTAATGTTTTCTCTTACTGACATTACTTATGTTGCTGTTACATGTGAGTTCACATTCCATAAATATTAGGTTGGAAAGAAAGTCCTGCAACACTTTTTCAAATTTTTGATTTTAATTTTATCTTTTTTGGTTACAACTCCTGACCGGTCTTATATCTACCATGAGTGTCCACCACTTGTCTCCAATCGCTCAGAAAATTTCTTGATGCTCCTTTGCCAAAACCCAGCGGAGTGCGAGTCGAGAAAGGAGGCGACCTCACTTTCGAGTTGGAGTTGATCGTCTGATTATTTCGTTATCAAGATGATGATTAAAGGTCCAGGATAGGTAGCACTCATTTACAGCTCGACCAGGGGATTACGCTAAGAGAGGAAAGAAATCTTGCCGCAACTCCAGAATTTCTTACCGGGCTCATTTCGGATCATGGTGATTCGCAATGTCATGAAAGAAATGAATATTGTCGCGGTACGAGGGCTCTTGACGAGCTACCTCGGCCAGCTTCTGGTATTCCACAACCTAGGCCACTGCCTACACAATGGTGCCCATAACGAAGGGTATGTAGTGGAGCTTCTGTAAGAGCCCTACCTGTAATGGAGTGTGAGGGATGCTGCTGGCTTCTTATAAAAATATCAAAAGATCGGAAGCGCTGGTAAAGGTGAAACACGCTGTATCGCTGAACGGCATGCCATTAGAAGCTATTGCAGATAGTGTCAGTCGTTGACACGAATCCATGGTTTTGTAGACATTTGTACTAGACAGTGACTCGGAGTACGGATTTGCTAGTGGTCGAGATTTTTTGAATTTTCTTGGATAACTACTGACTGCAGCACTTATATCCACCTCGTGGATTGAAGCCTTGAGAATGCTCTACCATTTGGTAGTCATAAATGTTACCTATGAATTTTTCAGAAAAAAAGAAAATTTTAGAAAGAGTGTTGCAGAACTTTCTTTCCAACCTAATACATAAATATTTCTCAATTGTGCATTACCATAAAAATGCGCGAAATAAAGATGATGATAATCTTGAGCCGCGTTAAGATTATATGGCTTTGCAGAACAACTTATTTTCTTCTGTTTCACAAAATGGAATCTTCAATCCGAGGAAAACATATCTTTTATTTTTGAGTGACTGGAAAAGGCGATGACAGCAAAGGCGTCCGTCATTTCTTTGGTAGTGGGATGACCTCGGCGCCGCTGACGCCTGACTACTTCGCTCATGTCTGCACTCTCAGCGGCGAGGTTATTTCCAACAATCAGTCGTGCGCTATACGTTTCACTGCGGGAGGCCATCACTGCGCCCATCGACGTCATTGAAACTTTGAATTCTCACACGGGCCTCTATGAGACCCTGTGCACAATTTTTGCAGACCCTTGCTGGAGCAAGGGCACATTATCGATATCTAGAAAACATGGAAGTTGTAGGGATATCTCTGTTGGAAAACTTTGCAAAGTTTCCTTTGCAAAACGTTTTTTTTTTTCACGACGGAATTGACAATTAGATATGGACTCCCTTGCTGGGGAAGTGGATTTTTTGCTTTCATTTCTGCTGAGTGAGCTCTTTATTCGATGAGTGGGCTTACCTGGACGGCTCATTTTCAGGAAATCTTCTCTTCCTTCTCTCTGACCGTATATTGGTGGAAGAGTTTTCAGTTGTTCGTTAAACCTTTTCGATTCCGGTTCTGTATTATTCGTTCAGAGATAAAACGTTTCAAAAGGTCTATAAAACGCTTGGGAATAATCTGTGGGTTTTGGTTAATCGTGGGTACTGATCTCCGTGAACAAGTCTTTAAGAGTTAAACCTAATTGGTGCGCGAAAGTAGCACTGCGATGGATTGTTGTTTACGTTTTTTTTATAAGAGCGAATCTCAACCAGACCAACTTATATCTACTTTTTAACACAATGTGGACGCTCTATTCCCCTGGGGGACGAAATTATCGGCTCGAATTTGTGGGAACTTATTTTGTCGTGTTTAATTAACTCATTTTCGGATACCTCTATGGTTTTGTAATAAAAGCAGGAACTGTATTGAGTGAAGTGGGTCTGGATTGGCAACGCTTATAAGGCAAACCTGGTGTAATAAATGCGTTTACGACACTCTCAGCTACTGCGCTACACAAGAACCCATATGCAGCTTTTGACCGAGTTCTTTATCCCGACATCTGCCTCAAATCCCGAGTTGGGATTAAAATGGCTGCTTTTATTTTTATACAGTTTATAATTTTCCTTCCACTGTACTTTGGATTCAGTCTAATTGTTTATTTGTCATGCTTTATACGAAATTAGTTTGTGTCTTGGGAGTTAATTCAATACAAATTTCTTAGCACTACCAACTATTATTTTAGAAGTGCCGTACATTTGGGAACATGGGACCAGATCGAAGGTCCAAAAATTGGACAAACAGGACAGGCGAAGTATGCTCTACTGGATCGTTTAATTACCTTACTTCCTTATCAATGCTCACAACGGCTTATTTCCAGCTGGGCTCCAATGCCGTGGGTAGCGCAGTGTCTTTATTCGGATGGTGAAACGGTGCAGTTACCAGACGGACGATGCTACCGAGCTCGTGGCTCATCTGCACTTAAGACGGTCGCTGCAGAGCCGGGATGTCCTGAACATGACAAGTTCTTTGTGAGTTTCCAGTGTTTATTTTTAGGTTTTGCTAAAATGGCCTGCATTGCTCTAATTACAATTTGAGTTTGTGTTTAGATGCTCTAGATACGTTTAGCCAGTGAATGACGTTTCTCCTTTGGGTGCTATCAGGATGCTTATTCCGTGGAATGCAGCGACAAAATTTGAGAATAACGCGAATACCATGAAAATATACCTGAATGACCATTCCGGAAGTTGCTGAAAACTGTAATATGGCCAGTTGACCAGTTAATCAACTCAACATCGCTCATCAAAAATGTGTCCATAATTTGCCCGAATTCGGTTTCGAGTAGACAGAGCTACAGTAATCGACAGCCGTACTGTTTTACATGGGCTACATCATTTGACTACTGAAAAGAACTTAGGCCCTAGTAAACACGCACCCTTAATTTGGAACATTGTACATTGCTGTGTCCCAAGTTATGATTTGCTCAACTTTCCCTCACATGGCAGATTTCATTTACTTTTGTAAGTTTTGGGAAGTGGCTGGGGTCTTGAAAAAGCTGTTGACACAAGACTTTTTCTTCTTCTTTGCATGTGTCTTCTAAATCCTCCGGCTAAAAGTTGCATGTATAGCAAAAAACTCGCAACCATTTCAAAAAAGCTGAGCTAACAACACAGCCAACACGTTCGCGTCTTCCCTCCTGGACTGGCACATATGCCTCGAACCATGCTTTAGGCTCATCCCCTTCACATTTCGAACACATTTGTTACGGCATTGAATATTGTTCCTGGAGAAAAGTATAAAAGAGCTCCACAAAAGAGGTACAACTTCCATGTTGTTACCGTAATTGCTTCAAATCATTACTTGTTTTAGTTTTGATATCTATAAATTGTTCAATGTCTGCAATTTCTATTTCTATTTTGGTGATTAGGTGGAGATAGCGCAGAGGCAGGTAGCGCCAGTTCAAACGCATATGGCTCGAAGGCCAAATCTTTCACTGAATCTTACCTAGGCTAACCAAGCCTTCCATTCCTCGGGGATCGGTCATTTGGCACCAGGCTCGCCCAGGAGGATATAGGAAGATAAAAAAAAGCACTGAGTTGCCCAATGGTTCTGCAAGTTATTGTGGAGGCTACAAACTTTGCCCTCTATTTAGCTTTGCTTGTTCATGAAAACCGTGGGAATAAGCGAAGTAACAAAAAAAAGAGTGGTGCGCAATAACAGGCATATCTTTCTAGTATGACCGCTCTTCAGCCTTTCCGGAATAGCACGATGATCATTTGCTCTTTTTCTACGCGACCGATTTTTTATCTCAAGATATAGGCTACCAATTTTTCAGATGCTGTGCGGGCGCCCATGCACCCTTATCAACGGCATGTGCATTTTTGAAGGTGCTCTAATTGTGACACAGTTCTGGATGCTTGTACTGACAACTGACTGGCAACACATCGTCACCTTAGTATTGCTGATGTTCGCTAACTATTTACTGCTTGCAAAGCTGTTCAAGGATAAAGTGAGTTCGCCTTTTGTGTTACTCTTTATAGGACGTGGAGGGCTCTTCGAAACTGATCAGCTTGCTAGTTCCATGGGGTACATTTTATATCAGAAGATAGAAGGATTCGAGAGTAGTCACTAACGGCCGCCCAAGGGCTGGTGGGGAGGGATAGGAAAACAAGAGCTGTGTAGTGGATTGAAGCACATCCAAGTCACACACCTCTTCGAATGGAAGAGCGGTTCTAATGAGTGAACGATTTTCTCTTGTAACCCTCTAATCCAGGATCTGTCCGTAGCATCTAAAGTTGCTTTCAAGTGCGTTCACTGCTGTTACATTTGTGTACCTAGGTGATCCTCGGCCGTATCTACGAACCGTCGCCCGAAGATTTGGCTTTGATTCAACAAATCCATCTAGAAAATCGACTAACACATTGATTTATTGTTATGATTCTTAAAGGTTCTCATTCTCCGATTTCTCTAGTTTACAAGTATCATTATTTTTAGAAGTAACTGAGCGTTGTGATGTATTTTGTATGTTGTACATAACGAAGAACTATTCTTGCCAAAGCATTGTTCATTCTATCGGGTGGAGGTGATAATGTCTTGAATGAAATTTTATTGTATTTCTCTGTTTCTCCTTGCAAAAGACGTGTTTCAAAACTTGTCATACTTTAATCAAATGGGTATTTGGGGATTTTCCATTTGAATACTAAGTCAGGAATGAGGCACCCCATCAGTTTCATTGTATCTGCCGGGTATTTCTTCAGAGCAGTCTACGAAGAACACGGTTTTACGGCTGGAGGTTTCGGGAGTCGCCAGTTGAGCTCACATTAGATCAAGGTTCAGTTAGCCAAAAATCCGGTGTGTCTCGAGTAGGTAGGTACCAGGATGAGCAATGTCAAGGTTCTCTGAGGCGGAGAGGACATGCTTGGCTTACTGGATCAAGGCAATCACGCTAGGTAGAAATGGCCGTTTATTTTCTATAAGCGGAATTAGTATTCAAGACAGTACACGGATTCTTGAAAGATTAGCGAATGTTTTCGAAAAATAACTAAAGAATTTTGTGGATTTCACTGCCCCACATCACGTAACGATCAAAGTCCGGCGGCTCCGAGTACGATGAAAAGGTATAAGAAGATAGGCCTGAGGTAGAGTTACCAGTTGTGTAACGGTCACATGACTAAGGATCTTAAAGGAATCTTGCGCGGAAAATTCTTGCACTCTTTCCTAACATGAATATGTCAGTTGTGATCACTGGAAATAGCACACAAAGTTTCACGCATGAAGATTCGGTTTCTGAAGAGAAACAAACGTACAAAAACTACACGTTTATGGACCATCGAAGGACCAGGAGGCAGAGCCAGGCGAGGCATGGAAAGAAGACGGCGTTTGGCCGGCTACGTACCAGGCGACGCAATGAGAGAATCGGGTTAAAGCGCGCGATTTCGGAGAGTGGAGACAAATCGATCGATGGAATAGGATGGAGTAGAAGTGTAAGATGTGAATGCAACGAAGCAGAAGGCCAGAAAGAGCTTCTAGTGAATGCACTCCAAGAACCAAGTTTGAGCATCCCCGTCGCCAGCATTCGTGAAAGACGTCCGTGGGCAATTCGAACGCGTAGCAGCCTTTTCGAGTTTTCGAATTTAATCAAAACGAAAGCAATACTTCAGTTCTTTTCACTATTATCGTGGATAATGAGTCTCAAGCCAGTGATTTATGGCTGAAATAGAATCATGATTTTTCCGCGCAAGATTCCTTTAAGTCTTATCCAAGTTGTGTCGAAAATGAGAGGACCTGACAGGCGCGCTTTTGGCACTTCTTTATGGGTCCTTGCTTCAATGAAAACGTTGATTAGGCCAGCTGTGTTTATGTTGACCGACATCTGGACGATAATGTGTCGTTAAATCTGTATTGCTGTACACAATCGTCTTCACTCAATTCCGTGTAGTCGCGTAGAAGAATGTCCTGCGCTTATAATAAAGAATTAAGATGTTTTCCCGTTGTTTACTTTAGAAACTTTGCGAATAATTACCAGCTTGGTTCAGGAACCATACTTATTTGTTGATGAGAAACGATCTAAAGGAGCAATCTAATGGAAGGTGTACCTCCGTTGTCGTGGATCGCTCATCCGGTACGAGTTCAACTCGTCACTGGAGGAACTGATCAATCTGTCGACGGGAATCTCTATACAGTAGATCCAGTGACAGGAAGCCTGGTTATAGTACGATTCCGCAACGAAAGTGAGTGTGAAGAAATCTTTTGTTTTAGGTGGTCACCTGTGTTTTTGAGCTTTCTTAGCTGTGATTTCTTTTTATCGTTCCAAAGGAAACCAAAGTGCTGTTAAAAAACTTATTTTATGTGTAATTTTTCAGAGCCTTGCCAGGTGTCCTGGATACCTCGTGAAGGCTACATCTCAGTTAGCATGATTGAGGAATCGTCTCCTCACTGTCAGCAGTACAGCGTTGAGCTGGCTGACATGATGAGTAACATGTTTGGCATGCGTAACGTGGATGAGGCTAGACGCTGATGAGTTGAAAGAAAGGTAGGTTGGCATCAAATTTCAACTTTGTAAATCAAAGTATCTCAATTTCTTCATTCGTCGTACACTACAACGGTGCGCCCAAGCGTGCTTGAGTTACCCAACGTTAATGAATATAAGCCGGTATGATGTTGTTAGGGCGGGTATAGCGGAACTGCAAGCTTTTTGCTGCCTTCCACCCCTTTAAAGGCAGCGGTTACGCTAGGTTTCAAATGGGGTTTAGAGGGGACGAGGGGGTCCTCAATGGTACGTCAGTGGCGAAAGAAGCAGCGAAATCCGTTCAGGAAACGAGAAATGGGACCCCCTTTTGTAGCCGTTGATTGCGGCTCTCAGATGGACTGCGGCGAAGACCGCGCACGCGTGGACGAGATTACGCAACGCGTGCTGGCACAGCAAACAGCAGGCATGGCGCCCTAACCGCGCCGCGGCTGGCAACGCAGCTCGCCCAAGCCACCGGTGAATCAGTGGGCGTCACGTCACTGGGGGCGGGGCGTCACGGGTCCTGCTCAGCAACCACAGCACCTTTCGCCGTGGGAGGACCACACATCGCTTCCTTGGCAGCCAAGTAATTGCTCCGTGTGGCGCAGGTTCTCCCCCGATGCGAAAATTCCTTATCGTAATCGCTTCCTTTAAATGGCGCATTTCCACGACAAGATTGAAGGACTGGTAAGAAGGGGAACCAGTTTGACAGGGCAAACGGATAACTGATTCCTTAAGTTGCGGACGACATAATTCTCAACGAAATGTATGCCCCAGCGAAGTATCGTGGCCGCTCGCGCGCCGCTAGCGCACGCCCACCGATAGGCTCACAGCTCGCCGCAGATCCTAGCCGTTGAACAGAGAGAGAGTGTGTTAGCGTAGAAGAGGATAGCAGCGATGAGAGTCGCATCCATGCGCAAATCAGCAGGCAAGAAAGGGTATCATTTCTACGCTACGCGCGTTCTTGGCTGAACGCCCCCAGCCATCTGAGCCACTTTAATGCGCTAGGAGAGAGTGAAATATGCTCAATTTTATTACTATTTTTGTATCGTTTAGACGCAAGCGGCTTCTATCATGGTTACGGGCCAACCATGTGGACGTTAAGGAATGCGATGATGGTTCCTTGCTGATTTTCGGAGCCGCTCGTATCCAGTCGCGTTCACTGAGGACAGTTGCTATTGTGATAGTTCTATTGTTCTGAAGCGATTACGTGCCCTGGTCGCCAAGGTACCGAAATGATCTCATCGTAGTAGTCACTTGTTTTTTTATGATGTTACATAAAATTACCTCGAACCGTCTGTGTGATTACATGCTAAAGACTATCAAAAACACAAGTTACAATCAGAATTGTTCTGTCTACAGCCCATGTGACCTTGCATGCAATCTGGGTACGATGAGCCAGTAAGCAATCCAAGATTTTCAAGACTGAAAATTATTAGGATTACATTTCGGGGGTCTGCCTGTCGTTAAGCTAGAACGGTACTGAAGCAATGATTCATTAAATTGCCACGCCGAACGCTCAATAAAATCAAGAACTCCACTAGTTAGGGCAAACTTTCGATGGGGTCGTGAAAGGGGCCGCCGGCTTGAGACAGGACGACCCGCCCTATTGCCGACCCCTCTATTACTTGAGTATGGTGTTAGGCATTTAGGACTTTCAATCGATAGTAGTAGCCGAAACGCAAGAAACAATCTTGGAAGGCTTGAAGAATTATCTCTATTTTTCTGCCCTACAAAATGGAGCCAACTGCTTACCTTTGCTTTCCAGAATTTTTTGAATCGAATGTATGGAAACGAGTGTGGGTCGCTATGACGAAAGCGACTTTTCTGCACTCCTCAGCGCGGAACCGCTTAGGTCCACCCTCGATCATAAGTGGATCTCGGGTCCCTGCCCTTAAGTCCGAAAAGTTGACTGTCGAATTTTCTTCAGATTTAATTTTTTGATGATATTAAATCTCTATGCACATTACCCACAAGACTTTATATTTTTAGTTCAGCGCACTGACGGATCGCCATACTAGATCATTCGCTTTTCATAGCTTTGAATCATTATTAACACCTCAAGGAACTTTTGCCAGTCAATCTACTCTTCTCAATGCCTCGATAAGAAGTGAACAGACTGACATCAGGCAAACAAACTTACTGACTGACAGACGAACAGACAGACCCCAATTTTTGATCCGTTCTAAGGATAACAAATGTTGAACTACAGGAAAAACGAGCATACACATTTATTTCACATAAGTTTCTAGAAATGTCTACGCAACTGTTGGTTCAGCTACTGGCCTATCTCTGTTAACACATTCGTCCGTGCCGTGTTCATTACATACCTGAAAATTATCCTCGTTTTCGCTGGTTGAAGATTAAAAAGAAGAAAAGAGCCAGCTTTCTGATGAATTTCTTCATCTCTGCTCACATAAATGCTTTTCAATTTGCGGAACTTACACTAAGTTCACCACGTGGCTTCGATTTATAGCAGTTGGATTCTTTACTGAAACAATTCATTGGAATATTTCACGATATCGGGATGTTGTGCTTGGATCAAATATAAACTGAAATGCTAATTGACCTAATAATCGAGAAGAGAGCAAGCCTTGGGAACGCATTCACTAATTTTCGCTGTTGATTTTGGGTATTTTTCAGTTCACTAACCATAAGAAGAGAGCCAAAACGGCCCTGTTATGTCACAACTTTTCCACCAAGTTTTAACCCATAACGGACGGCCAGTGTATTTTTCGCGTGCGCCACCATGTGGCGCACGCCGCCACCCAGGGTAGGGTTTATGTAGGCTTATGTGAACAGCAGGGGTAAGACGGGGCTAAAGTAGGTGTCGGAGTCTCATCATCCAAAAAAGAGAGGGCAGAAACGGAAAAAGACGGAAAAAAAAGAGAGATTTCCGTTGACGACAAGTTCGTAGCCCGCCTTTCCGCTCTAAAACTAGGGTGCAAAGAATGAATGGAAGCTGTGGGTGACATTATCGAAAAATGCGAAACAACAACCCCGAGCAAGGATGTGGCTATATTTAGGGGAAGGGGTCTTGGGACGTGCGATTGCTCTGAAACATTCCAAAAAAAAAGCGAAATAATCGTGCTCACATGTGGCGCACGCCGTCCGTCATGGGTTAATCAAATCTTTTAAGGGTTACTGACGGTCCTAATCATGAATATGGTACTAATTATTCATGCTAACTCCATTTTGCGCGAATTTTGGAAACGTCAACTCGAAATGCAAAAATTTGTCACCGAGGAATCGAACTAGGGACCCCCTTTTCTGGTATTCAGAGGGCCGTTCAGGAAAAAAACCATGGTTCTGTGGTTCCCGCATGTGCCCCTATATCATGCAAGAAACCGTTTTGAAAAGCTCGGCGCACCCTGAACGACCTCCTTGTTAAAACAATAGTCTCAGCAGGGTGGGCGTGGTTGGAAACGGCTGGAATCCCCTCGGCCAACTCCGACCACGCCCACTTCAGCTCCCTCTCTAGCGGCTTTCTAAGGTGAGTTTTTTTGTTTCAATACACCCTAATTCTTGACTAGGGGCTGAACAGCTCGGAAGTGGGAATCGGCCGAGGGGATTGTAGCCGTTTCCGACCACGCCCACCCTGCTGGGACTGTTGCTTTAATGGTGTTGATTCCACCTTTCCCCTTCTCTTTATGACATTACACTCTTCCAAATGGCACAGGAAACGCTGCTGCCTTCTGGTGGGGTGGCTGGGATTAGTTTGCTGTCACTCTAATTCTTAATACACATGGATCGTCTGGCGGCTCATACAGCAGTATAATCCGCCTTATCTTGTGTGAAGAGCAAACAATAGTGATGACATAAAGCTCTTGCGGTTAACACCAGTAAAACTGCTTCATAGGGTGCCCGCCTGTTACAGCATCCTCTGCAGGTTCAAGTTCAAAACTAGCTGTATATTTGGGATGAAACGTGAGGCTTTCAAGGTATTTGACACTGTCAACTACAGTCAGAATCGGTGCAGTTCGTTGCGAGTAGGCGAATCGAACGTTGACCAATCCAACGCCTCGATCGTCAGGACCATTTTGAAGCCAACAAGTGCAGCCAATCCTGATTGGAAAATTTTAGTCGCCGAGGGGATCGAACCATTAAGGGTATCATTTACCACTTTTTTGATACTACTAAACCGTTCAGCGAAAACGAAACATGGTTTTGTGGTCCATACATGCGCCCCTACAATATGCAAGAAACCATTTACAAAAAGCCCCCCTGAAAGCCCCCTTTGTTAGGATGGCTCTGTTGGCTCTGGCAGAAACGCACCTTCCTTAGTACGGCGCTTGGACTCTTAGCAAATGTGTTATTTCCGCCATTCCAAGAATTACTGATACTTATTTGTTTTTGATCGAGTTAACAAGAAGGGAGGCAGTAATCGTTAATGAACCGCCAACAATGGCGAGTTCAAAGAGCAATAGCACAAGTGTTTGTGATTTTTTTCCCTCGCTATATCAAAGAAAATACGAGAGCTAGCTGTGCAGGGTAGGGTAGGCTGGTTATAGCTACGGGTTAGCTCATTCTACATACTCTTTCCATTGTCTTTTGTTCAAAATCAACTGAAGACCGTGCTTCAAAGACGGTGATCACGATAGCTGGAGAGCGGCGCGGTTTTGATGGCGTCATTGAACGCCCTTGGTCCCAACTCCCAGTGCGATTAGGTGTTCAAGCCACGACGACGTCCGAAACTGCCACCGCTCGCTTGTGAAGCACTGCTTTAGGTGAGCGGTTACAGCACCGTCTCGAGCTTTATCCATCACGTACTTCCGAGGCTTTCACTTCTGCTGCTGGCATGGGCGGCGGACCGATTGATGCGCTGAAATATGTACAATGACATTTTCGATCCACAATGGTTTTTTTCACATGTATATTATTTGTTTATTAATCTATTTATTTACTCATTTGCTTATTAATTCATTTGCATGCGTCTATGTCACGCCCGCTAGGAGGCATTCACCGAAGCAAAATCAACCAAATCTAATTGATGGAAGAGAGTATCGGTAGTTCTAAATACGAGTTAAAGTCAAAAATTTACAATACACGCACGCGATGTCAAGAGATAAGCCGTTTAGACAGAGTGAGCACCCGAAGTAAAGCGTGAATTACGATGTTCCTGCCGTAGTCACGTACAATGCGCGTCGCATCGACGCGATTTCCGCAATGACAATCCTATAGGTTATGCTCACAATGAGGCTACCCCCGCTGGGCAGCAATCCAAGATAGATGAGCGTCGCTGCGCGCGCTTCGCGCGTAGGCTAGGGGAGTTATCCCCGTGTGCCGCGTTAGACCATGCGCGAGGCCACTCTGGCGTGCGTGCCATCCTCCACCTCCTACATGAACGGCGCTCAGTATAGTTGGCGGGTTGGCTCGACATATTCTCTCTCCTTTGAGAGAGCGCAGAGAAAACGAATAGTGGGAGGCGAGCACGCACTTCAGCGCGTCAATGCGTCGCGCATTGTACGTGACTACAGCAGAACATTATAATTCACGCTTTACTTCGGGTGCTCGCTCTGTCTAAACGGCTTAAGTCCGCGATGTCGCTTTCGCCGTGCAGTCGCAACACATGATCCCCCTGAGCGGGTTCCCGACAGGAGGCCCGTCGCGACGAGTCGCGGCGCGCCACTATTAGTGTGATGTCGCTTCAAGTTAAACGTAATGTACCATTGTACGTCTTATACCGTACATCACGCGCCGCGACTAGTCCACTTACTGTGCCTTTTTGCCGCGCGACGGGTCTCCTGTCGGATATCCCTCCTGACCGACATACGATCCCTGTCTGTGTCCCCCCTCCGAAGACTCGATAATCATGGCTTTTCCTTATACTCCTCGTAAACCGCACTTCCTGTCGTGAGTATATTTTCTGCTTGATCCCTTCCACTTGTGACACCAACACCTCATAGACGTGACGCGTAATGAAAAAAGGAGTTTTATATAGTAGAGAGAATCGTTATAATCACGAGATGACAATCAATTATCGACACCTAACTGCACCTCACGTCTGCTGGTGATTGGTTTTCCGCCTCGCTCCTCCACTCTTCCCTCACTGCCTACATCTGCTACGAACACACTTGTCCCTACGATTTTATAAAGCGCCAACTTTGTGTGTCGGTTGTGTATTGTATGGTGATGTATGTATGTGTATGTAGAAGGAAGCTCATGGGATAAACAAACCGCTAACAAATCGGGTAGCTTACA